GAATGGTACAGGTTAGGGCAAGACTCAGATGTGTTTTTAAAAGGTCAGTAGGAGTCAAAGTTGTCTTGATGGCACTTAACAGCATTTTTCTCTTTAAAAAGGCAGGAGTCAAGCATTGTTGGTCAGAAGAGCAATATTGTCATAAATATGTGAAGTCAAGAGCTTCTCTGAGAAGACACTCCTCATTGGATATGTGTGACAGGGAGAAGTATCTTGCCTTCCTGGAAGAAGCTACAGTGGCCTCCCTAAGATTCTGGGCTGGTTTTGAGAAGTCATAATCTCTTCGGGATCTACACAGTCAATTTGGACTTTGTTTTCTGAAGTTATTGTAAGAGAGATAAAAGTACCTTTTCTAGAGAATATTAGGTTGAAAAATTTTCCCATACCACAATAAATCTTCTTGGCCGGGAGATCTCTGCAGGCCCTGGGTTCTATTTCCTGGAGCACAATCTGGTTGTGCAAAGAGGACGGGGCTTGAGTTGTTTGAATCTGTGGTCCTCATTGCTGACTGGCTTGCCCTGCCTCATTCCACGTTCAACAGAAGAGCTGGACTGGTCTGAAACCTTATTCCCAAGCATTTGAAGGATGGTTTTACGCTTAAGATGTTCTGAGCACCTACATGTATACAAAACCTTGCTGCAAAGCTGTGGGAAAAAAGATGGACAAACGAGATGAAATGTCATTCTTCAGGCGTTCTTTAACTGAGATGATAAAAGACAAACCTAGGATTTGGCTATAAACTCCAGAAGCCAAATTGAGTAGATATGAAATCATAATCTACACAAATATAAAGGGTAAGTAGTATATACAAAGTTTGTGTGTGTGTGTGTGTGTGTCTGTGTCTATGTCTATGTGTCTCAAAGGGAGATAATTTTAGGTATCTGGTCCTGCCCTACTAGAAATACAAGTGAGTAATGATAATCAATTCATTTACTCATTTAAGGCTAGAAGTCCAAATCCAGGGCACCAGATCTTGGGGAAGGGCCTGCTTCCTCTCAGCATATGTGGGTTTGACATTCTGGGAAATCTCTGTGTCTTGGCGTCAGTCTTTCTCTAGATCTAGAAAGTTCTTAGTGTGGGGACCCTTAGTACAAAGAATATTATCCACTCCTGGCTTTTCGTTCAATTCTCCCATCTCCACGTATTCTTCTTTTATCTCTTGTAATGCAGGCTACATCCCAGGGAACTGTCCTTTACATCATATTACTGTTGTGCTCTGAGAAGGATGTTGCATCTTACCCTAACCTTTTCATTAATTGGCTAATCACAACTGATCACATCATGGGAAATGATGACATCATTATCTAACAGTCAAACCAACACAAACCATGGCCCAGGCCCAGTCAAGATGACACATATTTTGGGAGACACAGTTCATTCCATGGCAGAGAAGTAAAGCAACTAGTCAAAATTTTGACTAAGGAACATTCTAAAGTGTAGAGGATAATGAGGATGGAGAAATGGCCAACATGAAATTTCCAGTGGAACTTGATATTCTTACCTATTTTACCTCTAGAACAGATTTTGTTAAATTAAGGTATAATTCATATATCATAAATCTTCCTTTCTAAAGCATACAATTCAGTGATTTTAGTATATTTACAAAGTTGTGCAACTGTCACTACTATGTAAATCCAGATCATTCATCACCCTTTTAATAAACTCTTGTAGTTAGGTGCCATCGAGTTAAGTGTGACCCATACCAACCCTACGAATAACAGATCTGAACCCTGTCCTATCCTGTGACATCCTCACACTTCCTGGCACAGTAAAGCCCATTGCGGCAGTCACTAAAGTATATTTGCCACTATTTTTCCTCATTTTTATTGACTTCCATTCTGGGCTTTCCCACTAATACTGTAACTATCTGCATTCCTCTAATGTTCATAGGGTTTTCAGAGGCCTGTTATTTAAGAATTAGATGGCCAATCCTGTTTCCTAGTCTATCTTAATCTGGGAGCTCTACTAACATCTGTGTAAACAGATGGTAACATGGGTGATCCTTGTGGCATTTGACATACCGGTGGCATAGCTTCCAGCATCACAGCAAACCACACATTATCTCGGTACAGCAAACTGACAGTCAAATGCTGAAACAATTAGAACAGAGTTTTTTAAAAATTCAAGTTTTTAAAAATCCAGTAGCAGTTGGACAGAAGCTTGTGTATGATGTGTGTGACTTTATTGAAAGTTAACAGAAAAGTGGAGTTTTCATTCATTCATTTATTGTTGAACATTTTCTTCCCTACCTGTCCCCAGTTCACTTAAAAACAAACAAACAAAAAAAAAAAAAACCCCATTCATTCATTGTTCCATCATTTCCACCCAGGATAGAAACTTTTTTAAAGTCAAATCTAGGCCATGAAGTAAAAAGGAGCAAGAAGTTCTCACTGAAACTTTACCTTGGTTAGCAGTAAAAATAAATCTTAGAGAGAATATTTTTTAATTAGTCATGGTCAAAATGTCTTGGTCCACTGTAGTCAAAAGTTGGTTTCTAAACCAGCTCACGTCTAGCCCACCCTAACAACCATCTGATTTAGTGATACTGCCTCTAAATTCTTCAACACCAACATGCCACCTAAAGATAGTTTATCTATTTTCTTACGTAGGCCAACTCTGTCCAAGTTCTCTGAAGCCCAACAGGCAAATGCTAGAGTCAGAAGAAGAAAGAAATTTCTTTCCCAGGACCAACCTCATTAAGAGAAAGTCACCAAACCTGTCTGGAGAGAAACCAGGTTGCCTCCAGGGCTACAAGGAGTCACTCGCTATAAGACTAGCCCACAGCCTCTCTGCCTAGTCTGGAAACTTGAAACCCAACACTTCTGCAGGGAAAAAAGAGAGAAAGCAGGGGACCCAGGAGGAAACTTCCCATGAAAAATTCCCTCTAATCAGAGTCCAGATGACTCTGGTGGGTGTGGCCAAACCTAGATTCTGGGGAACTTTGGTGAAGCTGACTGGGTTGTGACAATCTTGCCAGTTGGAGGAGTGACCATTTGAAAATATGCCAGCGTCCTCAGTGGTCCAGTGAGCGTGCAAGCCAGCTTTGGCAGTAAAGCTGAAGCATTGCAAGTCAGCTTTGGCAGTAAAGATCCTCCTCAGGGCTAAGGCTTCAATATTATGATTTTGGCACAGAAATGTGGGACAAACCCTAGACTGTTGACGCTGGCAGGATTAACAGCAGTTAATAATATTTGTTGATTGATGAACGTGTCTTACGTATGGTAGTTATTTTATCAAACTTCATAGCAACTCTAAGAGGAAAGTACTATTTCTCAGCCCCACTTTACAGATAAAGATACAAAGGTAAGCAAGTTAATTAAGAATAAAAATGGTAAGCAAGTAGAATAAGAGTTTTGGCCAAGGCGGACGTGAATGCAAACTCGACAGTTTATGACCCCAGAACCCACGGTTGGTTAGAGATTTTAGTCCAAGTCCCTTATGATAGATAAGAGGAAATAGGTCCAGGAAGGTACAATGACTTGTCACACAGTCAGTCAAGGGCACAAGCCTTACGTTCAGGATTGTCTGGGTTTGGGGCTGTGGCGGGGCTTTCTCGTTCCGAAAGGTTGGGCCCTACTGACCCAGCCCACCATGCCTGACTGCTGTGCGTGACTCAAGGAGTTGGGACCTCACTTGCCGCCCGGCCCCGGCCCACTGTTCTGAGAGAGCCTCCATCCTGGGCTGGGCGAGTGACAACTTGTCTAAGTGAAACCGAGAAAGCATCGCTTTTCCCTGCGAGGTGGGTGGGGAGCGAGGCCCGGGGGTGGGGTGGGGAGTGTGCGTGAAGACACGCCTAGCCCGCCCTGGATCTAACCCCATTGGTCGGCCGGGCTCTAGAGGCGGTACCATTAGCAATTCCCTCCTGTGAATGGACAGACTTGGCTTCGGCCCGCCTCCCACCACGGGATGCGAGGGGCGGGAAACAAATAGCGGGTCGCAGGCCTCGGCGTGTTGGGGTGTTCCTGTCTGGAGCCGCCCGAGGTCCTTTGCCCCCCGCAGCTCTTCCCACGCAGCGAGCCCCTTTTCCCCCTCCAGCCAGTTTCATTTTTCTCCACATCTCTAAGCACTGAGGAACGTCCCTCTTCAGATCTGGAGTTTTTATTGGTGGCATTTATGCCCCTGACTCTGGTCAGTGCTCAGCGCTTAGATTTTGGGCACTTGATGAGGCTCTTCACTTTCACACCTGGGGTGCTCAGTACTGCTTCTTACGATGTACCCCAGGGTCGCTGTTCTCAGACCTCACGCGCCCCTCAGGAGTAAGCTTCCTGCGCTGCGGCACCCACTCACCTCTCTGTGCCGTCTTTCTGTTCAACTCACCCACCTGGGACCAGCCCAGGGTGACTAGAGAAAGCTGGACCCCCAGACTCTCCTGGAGTCACTAGTCCCAAAGTCCCACCTGAGTCACTGAGCCATCCCTGTGGGAGGTCAAGACTCTAAACCAGAGGTCCAAAGTCAGAGTCTCTCTAGACGTGCACCAGTCCCAGGCCAAGCCCACGCCAATAACCGGAAGACAGGAGGAATGTCACAGGGGAACTTTATTGAGAGGAAACATGGTCACACCCAACAGACATGCTTTCCCTTTTGGGCCCATACTTGCATGATCTCACACACTCACACTCTCTCACACATACACACCCATCCCAACCTTTGTCACACAGTCCAGCTCTCAGTCACAAGGGTGGAACACTCCTCAATTCTAAGATCCCAAGGCATTGGGGCAGAGGGAGGTAGGAGGGGAGAAGAAAAGGGACTCTCTCCCAGGTAGGGCAGGAGGAAAGGGGGTGCAGAGAGCAGGGACGGTGGGGTGGCCAGCGGGCAGGGCACCTGCGGCACAAAAAGAATGGGATGCCCTGGCTCCAGGCAGCCTCAGCTCTGCCAGTCCCTCTCCATGGAGCCTTCCTGAGCATTCAAAGAGAAGGGGCAGGCTTCCCAGCCCACACTAGTCCTCTCTGCTGCGGATGGGGCTGGAGCAGGCAGGGCAGGCAGGGAGCAGGTATGGCTCAGCTCTGGGGTTCCTCAGGAGCCTCGCCCCCTTCTTCCCCGGCGTTATCGGCGGTCCACAGCGTCAGATTGTCTCGCAGCAGCTGCATGATGAGGGTGCTGTCTTTGTAGGAGTCCTCGCTGAGCGTGTGCAGATCAGCCATGGCCTCATCGAAGGTGGTCTTGGCCAGTGAGATGGCCTCCTCCGGGCTATTGGCAATCTCATAGTGGAAGACAGAAAAGTTCAGTGCCAGGCCCAGGCGGATGGGGTTGGTGGGTGGCATCTCCTTCTTGCTGATGTCCATGGCTTCTTGGTAGGCTGCCCGGGCTGAGTCGATAGTACGCTTCTTGTCATCCCCGGTGGCCACCTCGGCCAGGTAGCGATAGTAATCACCTTTCATCTTCAGGTAGAAGACCCGGCTCTCGGCGTCACCGGACTCCTTGATGAGGTGGTTGTCCAGCAGGCCCAGCACAGTGTCACACACACCCTGGAGCTCGCCCTCTACCTTCTCCCGGTATTCTCGCACCTCGGGACCTTTCTCTTCTGAGGCCTCCTCGTTGCTTTTCTGCTCGATGCTGGACAGGACCCTCCAGGCAGCCCTCTGGCCGCCCACCACGTTCTTGTAGGCCACCGAGAGGAGGTTGCGCTCTTCGCAGGACAGCTCCTCACCCTTCTCCACTGTGCCCTTCATGAAGGCTGCCATGTCCTCATAGCGCTCGGCCTGCTCTGCCAACTTGGCCTTCTGGATCAGGCTGGCTCTCTCCATGGCTCTGGGGACAGACAGACAGGAGGCGAGCTAACTGGCTTCCTCAGGACCAATGCCGGGCTGGGTTCTGTGGCTCTCCAGTTCTCTGCCTGCCTTTTGGCTGGGTGACCCAGAGGAAGGTGGGGAGGAGCAGGGGGCGGGACTGGGACCGGGGACTTGCCTCCCTCTCCCCTTCTCTCCACACCCTTTCCGGCTCTTCCTTAAATGTAAAAGAGAATGAATCATCCGGACAGTCAGCGACAGAAATGTGGGCGTGGGCCTCACCTGCACAGGCACCTTTTGGGGCTCCTGGTTGCCCCCTCTGTTCGGGATTGTCATTGCATGCCTATGTTAAGTAACTGCCCCAGTTTCTCAAATCATCCTCCTTCCAGGGGGTGAGGATGGCTTCAACCACCTTCCTGCTTCAGCCCAAGAACCTGCAAACCAGGCTCAGGAGAAGGAGGTTCCTAGTCCTGCCAGATACGCTCACCGCTTGAGTGAGATGATGCATGCTTAGGCAGAACTGAACGGATTCCTGAGCACCTTCATATCCATGATCTAATTTAGTCCCCACTGCACTGCTGTGAGGTGGGCAGGACTGTAATTATTACTCCCACTTTAGAGATGGGAACACTGGCTTCGAAGAGACGGGTGAGATTAGCTCAAGGTCACACAGCAATAAATCCTTGAAACTCTTCTTCCTGCATCTTACTGCCTTTGGCTTCTCTCCCAGCGAGGCCTCAGACCAACCTCTAAATTCTGGACTGTATTTGGACGTGAGCTCGAAGCTTTTTTTCCTGAATCCATCTGAAGAAAATGGACCCATATCCTCACTCCTCCTCGGGGTCCTTCCCCACTGAATTCTCACAATGCAGAGGTGGCAGCTTTCAGAGTGCCACTTAATGAGGTGTTTAACGAGTGGCCACTGACGCTCCAGCCTAGCCTTTGTAATTAGTCACCCAATAGGTTGGTCAGACACCTTCCTCATAGCAGCACAATTTTCCCTTTCAAGTCAAGTGGCCTGTTACCACTTGTTTGAAGATTCACCCTCTGGCTCTCCATGCCAGGCTCGCTGTCCCCCACTCCCAGCCGCCTGCTGTCATGTATCAGTAGGGCTCGTGGAGGGTGGGGGCCAAGTCCCTGACTGTCCCACTTTCTGTGACTCAGCTTGCCTTCTGTCAGAGGCTGGGAAGCAGGTTACCTTGGTACTCAGTCCTGTTTGGTTCCCTATGGGGGACTCTGGTACCCAAGGGAGAAAGGCCCAGAAGGTAAGGGGGGCATACCATTTGGTTCATAGGACAGCAATCCCACCTGCGTTGGCCCCCACCCAAGCCTACCTCTCAGAAGTTTGTGTTCTTGTGCATCACCCTACCTTTGACCTCTGATAGGAGGGGGAGACTTCTCTTTTTCAAATCTCTGATTCCTACTCACTGTGGTCTGGTCTGGTCCCATCCTTGAGTCAGCCAATTTGTTGTTGTATACCATCGAGTTGGAAGCAACCCACAGCTGACCCTCCAGCAAGTTTTCAGAGGCAGTAAATGGGATAGGAGGAGACTGCCAACATGTCCCACAGAGCTGCTGTTGGATTCGAACCATGGGCCTTTGGGGTTGGCAGCTCAATTCCTTACCACTAGAGACCTACTTAGGTCAGTTAAGAGTTAGTGCTTATCTGTCCCACCTTAGCCAAAGATAGATGGGATCTTGAGACTCTAGGATGGGGTTCCCCTTGCTGCTATTAAGGCAGCCTTCAAGACAGAGTTCAGATCTATTGTTCATAGGATCACTGAGTAGTACTCTAGACACCTAACAATACTTGAAGACAGCCACTTTGCAGGCCTGGCCCTCCCCATTTCCTCTCGGTGTCTGAACGCCCACCTTGCCCTCCTGGAGCAAACCTCAGGCCAGAACTCTGAGGACTAGAGAAGAGCTCTGTCTCTTTGCCACAGAGAAGACCAGACATGCCTCGGCTGGTGCTACAAGTTTTCTTTGTTACAGATTTTCCAAGGAAGCATTCTGGGTTTGATATCCCAGGGGCTTTGCTCAAACTGGAGCACCAGCACAGAAAACGATGGCAAAGAAATATCTAAAGTACTAACTTACACAAGTATCTTTAGTGTGAAGCTGAGAGCTGCTTTTTCCTTTTCATGTTCCTATTCTCTGCACATCTTCAATTGCGAACTTGTATTACGTTTTTCTGAGACACAGCCCAGACTCGTTGGAACTGAACTACTGAGACTCAGCTCATAAGCTCTGTGGCTTTGGCCATCACTTACCTTTTGTGAGCTTGGCAGAGTGGATAAGTGGATGGTGACTATCATTATGTAAACAAACAGGGAGCTGGCTCCTACGAAATGAGAAGGGCCTTAAGAATGACTCTGCTGAAGACGCTGTCTAGCTGGTGGGGAGAAAAGTTTGCCCACAGGCTTGCCTCTCAAGATGGTTAAGTGGTCAGATGTCCTTAGCCCTGCCTCCTCTCTCTCCATCTAGGACATTCCTAAGAACCTTCCCTGGCACTAATCAACCTGCTTGGGCTTTCCTAAGTGCTGGGGGGTAAAGCTGGAGGTGTCAGCACACCAGGAAGCTGGAAGGCAAGAGCCTGGCGGGAACATCTAGGAACTCTGGAAGCCTTTGTCTCTAGGGAGGGGGCATTCTCTCTCCACCACATAAACCAGGGGACCTGGGGGTGGTTCACCGCACAGGTTCCATGCCCTCACATAGCCCGGAGCAGGAGAAATAAAGCCCCTTTACTTTTGGCCCCTCAAAGCCAACCTGATACCTCTGGCTCGCTCTGGCCTGTCGATCCTGACTCAGTTCCTGTCTCAGGCACCTCCCTGTGCCTCCAGGCTTCCATTTCTCAAGTCTAGGTACCCAGCTGGGCAGGAGGCAGCAGGCCTTGGCAGGGCATGGAGCTCCACAGTCAGCTGCCTGAGTCAGCAGAGCTGGGGCTTTCCTCATCCAACCTGACATAGCTCCCATCCCACAAGCAGGCTCAAGGCCTCTGGGCCTCTAACCAATCCTCAGTACAGTAACACTTGGAAGGGTTGTGACAGAGAGAGGGAAGTTGCTATCTGACGACTGAGAATGTAAGACATGGCCCTGATTGTAACAGCAAGAAGATTCCAGTCAGTTTCCAGGAAGAACTCTTGAGGATATTTTTTTTTTTTTTTTGGTCATGGAATGATCAAATAGGTGACTAGAGGCTATGGTCAGGCTTCCTTCCCTGGATAGCTGTGAGCTAGGGTTGAGTTATCCAGTCAAGAGTTTACTACTCTAGTTAGTTGCCTTGGAAATAAAAACAGTGGCTACATTTTCAGTGATCTAACTCACTACTGAGTCTTTTCATCCTCAAGCCATTGTAGTTTAGAGTACCTCACATTTCTACACCAAACAAGTCTAGAAGACTGGAATCTGTAGAAAGAATGGAATGAGGTCAGAGTGTGGGATGGTCTCCTGGCTGTTATAGGCAAGTCCTTTCCTGCCTGTGGGCCTGAGTTACCACACTGGTGCAATGAGGAGGCCAACCCAGATGACCTCTCAGCCCCCAGCTGGCTGGCTTCTCTTAATTTTAAGGTTTGCCAGTCTGAGATGCCCATCCTCAGAGAGCCGCCTAATCATTCCTCAGGTGGTGCAGACAGGTCAGAGATGGGGGCAGAGATAAAGTCCAAATAACTGATGCCTGTTTTACCAACCAGGTGACTTTAAGTCCTGCAATGTCCTTGAGCTTCAGTTCTCTCATCTGTAAAAAAGGCTGACATCACCTTCCTCACAGGTCTAAATGAGAAAGTGGGCCCGGCCCTTGGTGAGCTCGTGGTAAATGGGAACCTTAATTATTTTTTTGGCTCTTAGCACATAGTGTGTGTCTCAATGTGGGGAGGCAGGTGAAGAGAAGGTTCCATGAGATGGCAACCTTGGACTCAGCTCAACTCAGGGGGTGTGACAATTAGAAAATGAGTTAAACCTTTTGTTTCAGCCTGGGCTGGCCCTTTCAGAGTTCAGTTAAGGCTTGGGGGGGGTCTCTGGAACTAAAATAGGAGTTGTACAGGGCAAACATCACCCTTTGCTTGTCCCTTCTGCCTTTGGTTCACCTCTTTTACTCTTCAGAGATAACCTAGCAGCCAGACCAGGGCTGAAAGTGAGTGGTAAACTCTCCAGTAACCCCTCCAGATACTCCACCCCAGACCCAAAGGAGAGGTGACAACAGACAGCGAAGAGGGAAATCTTTATTTTGTTTAAAAAAAAAACCCCAAAAAACAAACCAAAAATCAAGACAGCAGATACGCAGCCTCTAGCCCTGGGCTCAGCTGACTCTCCTGCCTGGACGTTTCCTCTAGTTCTTCTGGAAAGCACACACGATGTAGAGCAAGTACACAGTGCGGTCGTGGTCCCGGTGCCTGGAGCCCAGGACGCAGCCTCCCTGCATCCGACCTGCTCGGGTGGGGGTGGAGCGGAGGGGGCCGTGGGAACAGTGGAAGCCAGTTGTGCTTAGAACAGTCACCAAACTTGTTCAGCAGCGTCATCAACACCCCAGACGGCTCCTGAAGAAACCTGCTCAGCTTGACTATGGCTATGCTTGCCTTTTTTTTTTTGGGGGGGGGCAGTGGGGAAGTGAGGGGTGGGCAGGCTGTAAGGCAAGATTCCTGGAGTCTTGATGCTTCTAGAATCTGGAGGAAGGGGGAGTAAGGTGGAGGTGGGTAGGGGAAGTCTCAGCAGAGTATACATTGTGCTGACAGCTGCATTATGGCTTTCTACACTCGGCTGGCAGGGAGTGGGGATGGGGGCAAAGAGGCCAGCCCCAGCCCCCTATGCAAGGGGCCACAAAGAGCACACAGGCGGGGCAGGCTAGGGGGCAGACCCTGTAGGCACAGATGGTGGCAGACAGGCCACAGGTTGGGCAGGTGGAGATGCTGGGTGGCAGCCTCCCCCCAGGCCGCTCCTGGAGAGGCAGAGAGCAGTGGTCCTCAGAAGGTCCTTAAGCCCCTGCACACACTGGAGATCCCCGGCAGGACAGCAGAGAAGGAGAAGAGAGAGGGTTAGCAGGACTAAAGAGAGAGGAGGCCTGCCACAGTACTGGCCTCTCTGCCAGAAAAGCGCCAGAGCTGGGGCAGCAGACAACGAAACAGAGGAGAACACTGGCAGGTGAAAGAAAGCTCAGCAGGGACAAAGGCAGGACACAAGAGTGTTAGTGACTGAGGGCCCCTGTACACCAGGATGCTACCAGGCCCAAGCACCTCCAAGCAGGTCCCCCAGCCTCACCCTTCACCTCCTGCTCCGGCTGGAGAACGGCTCTGTGTGTAGTTACCTCCTCAGTCCATTATCGGGCTGGGCTCTGAGCCTTGTCTCTCCACCCAGATCCTGTTGTTGGGAGGTGGGGGCAGCCCTGAGGGTCCTACCACCGCCAGCACACACACCACACCACACACCAGACATATGAGGAGGCCCCATGGGCCCAGTGAGGCATGCGATGAGGATGAGATGGTGTGTGAGGGGAGCGGGCAGTGCTGGCCAATGGGGGAGATACAGTCTTACCAGCTAACCCTCTGCAAAGAGGCCTGTTAGCTCCCCTCAGGCTGTGCAGGAGATCGCAAAATCCTGACAGGTGTCCTCCTGGGGAAGATACCAGAGAAGTGGGCCAGTGTTATGAGTCGTCTGGAGGGGCCCTGCTGCCTAGGTGACAGGAGACACTAGGGGGCTCTGGCCTTCACACTGGGATCTATTGTCTCAGAATTCCTTTTATTTAAAAAAAATTAAAGCTGAACAGTAGCAGAGATTAGGTGGGAAGGCAGCAGGGAAGAAGGGCTTGGGGGTCTGTAAGGCCCCAAGACAGGAGGAGGAGGGGATGAACGGGGAACAGGATGCCCAGGAGGGTCCATTGACAGCCCTCTCTGCTTGGCCTCCCTCCAGCAGAGCTCTGGTTAGGAGAAAGCTTGGCTGCATTGCTGGCCTCCTTGCCTCTCTGTCCTTGTGAGAAAGACTCAAGTTTGGCTGAAAGAATGGAGAACTGACAGCTAGCTGCTTATCCCTCTGTCTCCCCAGAAAGACCTCAGCAAAGGAAAAGCAAACAAAAACCAAACCAAAGCAAATCAACTCTTAAAAACAAAAATTTTATTACAGGCAAGGAAGGAACAAAGAATACTGGCTTAAATGAAAAGGCAGGCGGGGCCCTCCTTACCCAGCATCCCCTCCACTCCCAGGGCCAGGGCAGTGACAGCTTGGGGCCCTGAGGCTGGGGTGAAGCTGCTTCTCCCAGAGATTCCTCTGTGGCTACCACTTCCCAGCTCTGTTTGTGACAGAGCTTTCCAGCCTCTGGAAGGGTAAGATCCGGGGGCTTCCTATGTCATTTTTCATGGATTTCACCACTTAAAGGTCAATGGGGGGAGACAATGGGATAATTTTCTATCTCATTTGATCAGACAGACACTATCTCCCAGCAGAGAAGTGACATCCTAGGAATTTCAAGCCTAGACTCAGGCCTGTCCTACTTTCCTCATTTTCTCTGGATGGAGGCCCCACAAGTCACGAGAGACTCTGACTTCTATCCCTTGGCACTGGGTCCCATCCACAGAGCTGGAATGGGGGAGATGTGTGGCCACACCCCACAGAGCTATCACCCCAGCTACCACACCCTGCCTCAGCCTGTCTGGGCAGGTCCCAGATAGAAGCCTAACCTCAGGGCTGGGCTAGGTGCTGATGGTGGGGTATAGGCAGAGGCCCTGTTACTACTGCCTGAAGACCAAAAGGGGGAGCACAGGAATCTGTAGTGCCAAGCTCACGGTTCAAACTCTCTTGCTTCTTCCTGTACCTGAAGGGTCCAGGGCAGCATAGACAGCCTGGGGAGAGGGGACAACCCAGAGGATGTCAGGAAGTGGGAGCCAGCCACACTCGTGCACGGCCACACACAAACAGATGCCCACACATGCACACACATCCATTCACAGCCAGAAGGTCTGTGGTAATAAACTAAAATCAACTTGCCTTCTGATAACCCTAATCCTGGCACTACACAGACAGCAATATGGCTGACTTTTTTTTTTAAACACACCTTTTCTTTTTTCCTTTAAAAAAATGCTATGTAGAAAAGAGGTCTATAAAATTGTGCAAAATATCCAGCATTATTAAACCCGTTTCAAGTATTGCCAGCATGATTCTAACCCGTCCGTCCGCAGACCTGACTTGGGAGGGAGATGGAGTGGGCCAGCACTGGATCCCTGGGGGAGCTCTCCTCAGGCAGGGGAACCCTGTCCTAGTGTCCTGCAGGAACTACACAAGAGCTGAGGCTTGGGGTGCCTGGCTGGTTGACTGGTTCGGCTTCCTCTGATACAGACTGCCGCCCCCTCCCCCAACTCTACTCTGTCTACCTGGAGCCCCAGTCCTATCCTATTGGCGAACTGAATACAAAAAAATAACAAAAAAAATGTTAGAAAGATCACAAAAAGAATGGAGGAGCCCACAAACCAAAGCAGGCTATGGATCGGAGGCTTCCCTCCCACAGTCCAGCCCACCGCCCAGAGCTGACGGCTCACCAGTCCCTCCTTTCACCTTGAGGACCTGCTTAGACAGCCCGGAGTGCCCGCACACAGGTGGGCTCATGCTCAGTTCACACCCTCACGCACACAAGGTTCGTCCTGGCAGAGGCGGAGACTAGGCATGGTCCCCTTGGTGGCTTCTGGAGGGTCAAGCCTCCTTGTCATTCCTGTACTGATCAGATGGGAGACCCAGGACCCAAGGTTATGGGAACCTGGGTTTGGGGAGCAGAGGGTACAGCCATGGAAGAGTTTGGGGAAAGCCACGCAGGATGGGAAATAAATATGAAAAGACGTGAGTCTCTGGCGGCTCTGCTTCCCTCAGATGGAATGGGGAGGGTCCCAGCAGGTATACAGGGCAGCAGATGAGTGCAGAGGGGCAGACAGGCCAGCAGGTGGCAAGTACTGAGCCCCATTCAAGGATGGCCTCCTACCATGCTGGCATCGGGCTTGGCTCCGCAGGCTGGCTCTTCACTTCTGATGGGTGAGGGCAGCACGGTGTCAGACTGCACAAATCCCCTCCGGTCGATCAGGCTTCCAAACACAAAGCAGGGGACACGTGAGGGCTCTGTCCAATGCCAGTCACACATGAGCAGCCCAGGGGGTTAGAGAGCAGGGTTCACCTCCCACCCAGGGGAAGCCTTAAGCCCACAAAGGTAGAAAAGGGAGCTATTCTCAACCTGGGGCTCAAGACCCTGCCCTTCTGCCCTTTGGTCAGCCAGCGTCTGGCCACAATTAGGATTGATCCGCCTGTCTAAAGTAAGGACAGAAGGACACTTGAGGATACTGAGCTTGGCACTGTGTTCCTCCCGCAGGCGGATGGGTGGCCTGGGTACTGAGAAGGACCTTGGTCCAGCAGTGTGGCCTGTGCTGGCGCTCTGGCGCCCCCGTGTGTCAGGAGGGACAGGGAGCTTCCCTCAAGCCTAGTCAAAACAATTGTGGTTACCCCTGGCAGGAAGGATTACATGTAATAGTGAATTCACGTCTTTCTTATACTTTTTATATTTAGTTTTTTCTACAATGATTAAAATGTACAAATCTCCATGAAACTCTTTTCTGATAAATGCCTTGAGTACATTCACTAGAGGATGGTGGACAGAGGCTGTCTGTGTGGAAAGGTCTGTGAGGGGCCCAAGTACTGTGGCCTCTCGCTCTTGTGCTTACCTGGGAGGTAGGGGGCCACAGAGCACAGCACAGCAGTTGGTGATAACACTTTTATGGCTGTAAGGGTTGACGGAGGCCTCGCCGCCCCTCTTGCTGGACCATGAGCCTTTGATCTACAAAGAGGAAGGAAGCTTGGGTCAGGGCCCTCCTTTTACTTCACTTTTTTTAGGTCTAGAGACTAGGGGAAAGCTGGTTAAAAGTACGAAAGCCTTTACCCCAGGGCTTCAGTGAGACTGTGGGGGATCCAGAAGAGGTCAGGAAAGCCTGAAGTAACACAGAGCAGAGGTAAAGAGAGTCCTCCAGAGAAAACTTTTTAGTGAATTCAATCTTCCCCTGGCCAGCGGCCTGAGGGACCAACACACAGGCCTCAGGCTGATCTCATCATAGATCCTGGCCCTGCCTCTGACCAGCTGTACAACCCTGGACATACCACTGCTTTGAGTCTCAATCCTCATTTAAAAAACAAGGGCAATAATACCAATTTTCTGACAGTTTCCTAAGAGCATGAAGTAAGATCCTGCTCATCCCTAGCTAGAGCAGTCAGCTTCTCCAGGCACTGAGGAGTTCTGAAGTAAAGAATACTCGCCTAGCTATATAACCCAACTGTCTACACACATTTGGCCACAACACCCCTTTGTTGCCCCTAATCATGTCTTATAGAATCGACATCCAGAAAACCACTTTGGGAGACATGGGCTTATGCCATTTCTGCTCTGGACCAATCACCTAGCACCTGACATAATCACACATGTTAAGTTCCCCAGAACAGGAGGGTGAAAGTCAAAGTACATGTCTTCTGGGTGGTGGGGGTCTCAGATCCGCATCAGACGGTGATTCCTGGAAGAGGTGTTCTCCTTTACTTTTTTACTGTTGGGAATATGGCCAGGGGCGGTCAAGTTTTACCCAGGGCAGAGTATACAATCGGTGCACAAACAATGCCTGCTGGTGAAGGAAGGTCCACACGAGAGCAGGTAGGGTTAATGGAACCCCTCTGCTCCATCCTGGCTGCTCCCTACAATTTGGAAGCCTTAGGGAGCCCCAGGAATACCCTCAAGATAGTCTCTGTTGACTACAAATGCAGACAACACATGACAGAGAACAGAAAACGTGGCCATAATTTCTGGGCATTCATTAATCCTGGCTCTGTCTTGTCCATGGTATGCAACCTTGAGGTATGAGTCACTCAGGTCAATGAGGAAAAAGCACCCATTTCTTCTGCCTCAGGGTTGGTAAAATAACCCAAAGAAATGATGGAAACGGAATGAAATTTCTAAATGGTAATATAGTAAGTTCAAATCCACCAGAGGCTCCATGGGGCAATGATGGACAATCTACTTCTGTGTGATTTACTGCTTCTCAAAACTCACTGGAAGGTGAGTTTTGGGTCAGTTTCAACTCAACGGTACATAATAACAAGAAGATAGGTGTATCACATTGGGAAAATCTCTTGTCAAGGCCCTCTCCAAAGTGCCAAAGAGCAACAGTGTCAGTTTAAAGACTAAAGTGCACCTGTTTCAAGCTTTGGTGTTATGTATCTGTAAGTCGGACAATGACTAAGGATGAGAGAAAAGAACTGATGCCTTTGAGTTGTGACACTGAAGAATACCGAAAATCCCATTGTTGCTGAGTACTGTCAAGTTGGAACTGACCCATAGCCAACCCTCCAGTGAGTTTTCAGAGACAGTAAATTGCACAGGAAATGCTCTGCCGGGGAAGGAGGGGCAGTCTCCTCCTGAACCAGTCAGATCTGATTTGACGGTACACGCACACAAAAATTTAAAAAAAAAAATTGCACAGGAGGAGACTGTCCATCCTTCTCCCACAGAGCAGCTAGAGATTTGGGCTGGCAGCGCAATTCCTTAGCGCTAAGCCACCAGTGCTCCCAGCCCATGGAGGGCCAAAAGAACCAAAACATGTCTTAGAGAAAGTGCAGTCAGGGTGCTCCTTAGAAGCAAAAATGATGAAACTCTCTTTCATATACTTTGGGTATGTTCTTAGGAGGGGCCAATCCTTGGGGAAAAACTTCATGTTTGGAAAGATGAAGGTCAGAGAAAGAGGAAGATCTTCAAAGAAATGGACTGACACAGTGACTGTTAACAATGGACTCAAGGACATTAGAGACAATGAGGCAGGACAGGGCACGGTTCAGATCCATTGTTCACAGGGTTGCTGTGAGGCACATTGATGCAACAGCAGCCAACAACAGGGTGTGCTGCCGCTTGTAGGGTGTGGAGAAAAGTAATCTGGGGCCACTGAAGGCCCCAGATTTATGGAAGCCTCAGAAGCTGCGAGCCTGATGGAGACATTCAATTGTCTGTCCTTTCCAGCAGTTTCTGGGCCAGGGCTGCACTGTGGTGCCTACAGGTTCCCTTAGCCCTGCAAGGAGCACACGCCAGCCTTACTCACGTCTTCATTCGTTGTCAAGTTGGAGGCGACGAGGTAAGTGTGAAACCCTGAGAGGCCCAGGATGGACCAGATGGAGAAGAAGCAGATCACCAACTCCAGCACAGTGCGTGGGCCGTCAAGGAACACACGGGACCAGGGTGAGGGGCGGCTTTGCATCCAAACCCTTCCTGTGGCTCAGCCACCACTTCTCAGCAGTGTAAACTCAACTTAGGGACGGTACAGGAGTCACCCTCAAAAGAAGGATGAGACCAAGGTGCTGAGTGGCAGAGGGAAATGAGACACGAGGAGCTGAGGACATAACATGGTCTAGGGAGCGTGGTGTCTGGAGGAACATGCTCTCTTCTAAGTCCCTGAAAACAGGGAGAGTGACTTCTGAGTTCTCAGCCACCTAGTCCTGCAATATCTCATTTAGGAATCTCATGGAGTACTACAAACAGAGGCAGCTTGTGTACTGAACTCCAGAGGACAAACATGTTCTACACCAACTTTCTCTGCTTACAGATGGGGTGCAGGGATCCTACACTGAGACAGGGCCTCGAGTTACCACCAGGGGACCCACTGAGCTGACAAAGGATATCTCGCTGGTGTCTCCTTCAAAGTGGAGAGGAAGTTGCCGTCCTGAGAGCCTGGGGGAAAGAAGCAGAAGAGGACATGGCTTTGAGGGGTATTGACCAGAGCCCCTTGGTCTGGCTGGGCTGTTTCTCCTACCCACCATCCCAACCACCCCTCTTGACTCACGCAACGTCAGGTGGGTGACCACACAGGCAAAGATGAAGGTGGTCAGGAATGAGAGGGAGAGAATAAATGCATAGAAGAAGCGGTAGTTCCGTCTCCCCACACAGTTGCCCACCCAAGGGCAGTGATGGTCAAACCGTTCTGAAAAAGGACAAATGACCACAGTTAGTGACTGGCCAGCCCAGAGTCAGCACAGGTGCTCAGAGGCCTCACCCCACAGTGAGGGTTACCACACTCACTCTCTCCACACCTGCCAACTCTCAGTTCCTTGGACACACCTTCTTTCTGGATCTCCATACGCTGCTTCACTCACAAGTTTCCTGTCACTTCACCTGTTTAAACATAACTCCTCCCTCACATTCCAGCTTGCAAGTCACTTCTTTAGGAAGTGACCCCAGCCCAGGTGAGGGGTCAGCTGCCCTTGTTGCCCCAGCACTTCTGTGGAAGCCTTTTATCCACATGTGTTTACACACTTATTGCTCATCGATGAGGTGGCCAATTACCCCTGCTTGACCGTATGGTCCAGGGGATGGGGTCATTTTGGCCTCACACACAGGGCTCGGGGCAGGACCTGGTATAGAGAAGACCCACAAAAAATACACGCTGCCTGACCTACTCCCCTGCTGCACACGTACTGCCAAGGACTCTCCCTTTGGCCCTGTAACTGGAGGCCCCATGGAGGGCTGGCCGCTATGTATGTCAGCCACAGAGAAGAAGCACCGCTGGGCCAGGTCACAGGCTGAGCTCACAGCAGTGCTATGTTCCCGGGGGACAGGGTCACACCCACCCTGCTGAGGAAAGTCCCATGTGGGAATGTGGGTCACAAGCCCGTTGTAGGCCTGGTGCCAGGGCTGGCACTCTTTGCAGGGGTTGGGTGGGGCAGTCTCAGGGATGAATGACACCCACTGAGTCACCCACTCCAGCCTGCCGTCATGGGGTGTTGCCACTGTTCTCTTGCTTCAGGACTGCTGAGCTAGCATCATGAGCTCACTGCCCTGCAAACTGTGCACAGTCATCTACGGCCTGGCTCACCTGTTCTCACACACAGTATCTCCCTTACAACACCTCCCAGGGGCCCACCCTCCGTCCCCATCAGAGCCACGTGGTCTCTAGAGAACAGGGAGAGGGGACCAAACAGACTCTGGTTCCCCAGCAACCACTGCAGTTGTGGGACAGACGCCTAGATCCCAACCCTGGCTACATTTTCTCCACCTCTCCACTTTTAACACCTATGTTCTCATATTCCTGTTCCTCTCAAGCCCTGGGAATCCAATCAAAGCCCCGCAATATAGCCTGCCAAGGGCCTCTGTATGGTAACGATGCTCACTCTGCCCAAAGACATTTGGAATGTTACTGTTCCAGCCTCTGATGCCTAGAAACCTGGGCCTTCAGGGGACCAGGCTGTTTGCCACAGAGGATTCAGAGGCTGTGTGCACTCTACATATCAAAGATGGAGTAAATCCTGGGCTACAGGCAGGACATCTCTAGCCATGTTCAAGTCCCTCACTACAGCCCTTCCTGAGCCATTGCAAACCTGGGGAATAGAATTCCTGGCCAGCCCTAGCTACTTCACACCACCTCACCCTTCTCTCCTCACCCCAGAACACACTTGGTCTCTCTCAGGAGATCCCACACTGCATCTCACCCTGCTGGCTCTCACTCACCCACACAGTTGTCGCAAACACTACAGTGTGAGGTTCTGGGTGGCCGAAACATCTTGCAAGTGAAGCAGTACTTCAGCTTCACCATCTGCCCGTTGATCATCACCTCCCGGGTCCGGGGGGGTGGCCGGTATGTGGAGCTGCCCGTGTTGTCTGAGGGTAGAAGGAGAGAAATACGGGAGATGTTTAGGGCAGCCCAAAGCCAGGAACGCCAGCTGCTGGGGCAGAAGAAGCCTCAGTGAAACAATTTTCTGGGAATAAACATAAGAGTAAGATATCTGGTCTAAGGCTTGACAAATAATAAAACTGTAACCACACACTGAGCACATTCTATGCTCCTGGGATACAGACTTCACGTACTTATTCTTCATTCTGAGGTGGGAACTCTAGAAAGGCTTAATACGGTTTATAGAAATAAAGTTAAACCTAGATCTAAGTTCCAATTTACAGGAAGTTCAAGGGATGGAGGAATAAAATGAACACCATGAGAGGATAATCAGACAAATTTAGAATGTGCAACACCAAGACCCTGGCCTGATCCCTATATAAAGTCCATGTCAGTAAGAGGGGAAATAATTCTAAATTCAGAGGATTTGGAGAAATAAAAGCAAATGCAATGTCTGATCCTTAACCGAACCACTTTTGGGGAATGAAAAAAACCTAAACAAATAACAAGCCACTAGACATATAGAACAACAAACGATATTTAGAGGGCAATGGCTGGGGAAATCTGACTACAGACCAGAAAATTAGTGAATTATGCATTTTCTGATGATACGGAAAATTATAGCTATGTATTAGATTCATCTTAGATTTTGAAAACACATGTTAAGTATTTATGGGGACACTGTCTATCATTTACTGATTATTGTTGTTCTTGATTGCTGTAAAGTCAAACACGACTCATAGTAACCCTATGAACAAAAGAGCTGAAGTCTTTCTATAACTATTGTCATTTCTCAAAGTTCAGAGGCATGTTTGGAAGTGGATGCCACTCTTTTAATAATAACAAACAAGGAAAATATCTGTATTTGTGTGTGTATATATGTTGTTGTTGTTATGTGCCGTGGAGTCGCCTGTGACTCATAGCGACCCTATGTACAACAGCCCTAAACTCCGCTCTGTCCTGTGCCAATCGCACTGTCTGACACTCCCATCCCAATTATCCCAGGCACTGAATCAATCCACCACATAGAGGGCCTTCCTCTCCTGCGCATATACACAAGAAATAAAGACACATTACCAACAACTACTGAATCTAGATACTGAAAGTGCAAGAATCCATTGTACTTCTTTTTCCCTTAGGTTCCAGTGCAACTTCCTTTGAACTCTGCTATCAGAGCTCCCCTTCCCTAAAAAAGGGATTTATTCTTCTTAAATTAATTTGTAGGGAGCTCTGGTGGCCTACTGGTAAGAAGCTGCACAGCAAGTCCAAAGGCACAAGGTTCAAATCTATCAACTGCTCCACAGGAGACAGATGGGCAGTCTCTTCCTGTGGGATTCAGTATCTCTGCTGGATTCACTAAACCTGCTAGAGTGTCAGCCATGAGTCGGTTCTGACTTGATGGTAAAAAACAACAAAATATTAATTTGTAGTTTCAACAGAATTCCAATAAAAACATCTTAGTAGGAGGACGTGGTAAAAGTGTGACTATAATGTGAATATTTTAACTAATACCATGAAACAATGCGTGGGATTGGAAATGCCAGTACATTTTTTGATAGAAACTTACAAAGCTATTCTAAAATTCACATAGAAATGCAAAATATCAAGAAAGGATAAAATACTTTTGCTAGAGAAGAATAAAGCTAAAAGACTTAACTATCAGGTATCAAGACTTACGGTACATCTATAGTACTTAAAATAGAATGGTTTTTCATGGTTTTGGTCCAATACAAACATGGAACAGTGTAACAGAACAGAGAATCCAGAACAGACTGACGCGCACAGGATCACATGGTTTATGATAAAGGTACTTCCTGAAGGAGGTGGATGGCCTTTTCACAATAAATGGTGCTGGGACCACCTGCACCCCAAACACAACATTCAATTCCAGGTGGATGGAAGTTCTAAGTGTGCTCTAACTCTGTAATAATACAGTTTTGGTAAGTAAAATAAGATATCTTTGTGACTTTATAGTAGACAAACATTTCTTTTGAAGACACAGAGAAAAAGAACAACTTGATAAATTGAATTACTGTCAAATTAAGAACTTTTGATCATCTAAAGATATTAAAACAGTAAAAAATGTGCTCCTCAGTGGAGATGTTTACATGTTTATCTGAGAAGAGACATGTATCCAGAATACATAAAGAATTATTTAAACTTAATAAGGTTAGACACTGGAAGAGTAAACAGCCAATAAACACAAGAAGTACTCAGCTTCGTTAGTCATCAGGAATTGCAATTAAAACTAGAATATGCGCTTGCTCTTGTCCATCCGCACAAGATGCTGAAGGGAAAAATTAGGTGGCTCCGGCACCCGCCATGGTCAAGAAGCAGAAGGCAAAGAAGGTGGTGAAGCCCCTGTTCAAGAAAAGACTCAAAAACTCTGGCATCGGGCAGGACATCCAACCCACAAGGGACCTTACCGGCTTTGTCAAATGGCCCCGCTACATCCGGCTGCAGCGGCAGAGGGCAATTCTCTGCAAACGGCTCAAGGTGCCACCCGCCATTAACCAGTTTACCGAGGCCTTAGACTGCCAGACAGCTACTCAGCTGCTGAAGCCGGCCCACAAGCACCGACCAGAGACCAAGAAGGAGAAGCAGAGGCTGCTGGGTCAGGCTGAGAAGAAGGCTGCTGGCAAAGGAGACATCCCCACCAAGAGACCCCTGTCCTCCGTGCCGGGGTGAATACGGTCACCACCTGGTGGAGAACAAGAAGGCCCAACTGGTAGTGATTGCACACGTGGACCCCATAGAGCTGGTGGTCTTCCTGCTGGCCTTGTGTCATAAGATGGGTGTTCCCTACTGCATCATGAAGGGCAAGGCCAGGCTGGGCCGCCTCATCCATTGGAAGACCTGAACCACTGTTGCCTTCACGTAAGTAAACCTGGAAGATAAAGGCGCTCTGGTGAAGCTGGTAGAAGCCATCAGAACCAATTACAACAACAGATATGATGAGATCTGCCGCCACTGGGGAGGCAACGTCCTGCATCGCCAAGCTGGAGAAGGCCAAGGCCAAAGAACTCATCACCAATCTTGGCTGATGTACACACTGACTTACAGTGATATAAGAATTAACTTATTCCACCATCTGCCAGAAAAAAAACCCAAACAAAAACTAGAATATGTGATCTATACACAAGCACGCGCAAGGCTAAAATGGAAAAGCAAAAACAAAACAACTCTCCTATGACTACCTTGGAACACTATTTCACAATAACTACCAAAGCTAACAATGATGCCTAACAATATATCATACTCAACAATTCCCCCTAGATATCCACCCAACAGAAACGTGCATACAATATGAACCAAAAGCCATGAGGAAGGAGTCCCAGAGGTATAGGTGTCTGACTTACAACTCTTCCTTGTCCTGTAACTGTTATGTGAAATTGCCCTCACTTTGAAACTACTGAACCCACATTTAATTGCAACAAATATTCATCACAATTACCTTCATTTGTGCATATGCAGCTTTAACCCTTTGAAATGGCTTTGAGCTTTTTCTGGCATCAGCGTAAAGCTCGGTAAGAATTGTCTGCACCAGCTCTGACAGACCTCTAATGTCTTCAACACACAGTCATGAAGAGAACTCCTTCTTAACCTGCAGACTGTTGGTACAAGAACATTCATAGCAGTAATTCTCCTAACAGTCAAAATCTGGAACGATCCAGATGCCTGTTGATAACAACAGGTAGAAAAAGTGTAGCCTCTTCACACAAAGGAGCCTTGCACTGGCGAAGCTCCCAACCATCAACTCGAACCTACCACCCACCCCATGGGTGAAACACGTGGCAATCTGCTTCTGTAAAGATTTATAGACCTGGGAACCCTGTAGGGCAGTTTGATCTTGTTCTATGGGGCGGGGCGGGGGGGGGGAAGCTGTGAGTCCAGATGGACTTGAGAACAACAGAGTTAATACTCACACAATGGAATTCTATATAGCAATGAAAATGACCGCTCCTCAACATACAGCAATATGCATGAATCACAAAAACAGTGGGTAAAGTAAAAAACCCAGACCCTAAATGCACTACAAATGACAAAACTAACCTACTGTTAGCAATCTGCAGTACAGTCACTCCAGGAGGGGTAATAGTGATTAGAAAAGAGCATAAGGGGGCTTGGGATACCAGTCATGTTCTTGTACTCTTCTTATTGTTATTTTATTATTTTGTGTGTGTGTGTGTGTGTGTGTAATATCAAATCGAATCTGACCGGTACAGGAAGAGAATGCCTCTCCTTCTCCAGTAGAGCATCTGGTGGATTCAAACCACACTCCTTCAGGATTGCAGCACAGCTTCTTGCCACTAGGCCACCAGAGATCCTAGTCTTGTACTCTTCTTTATATTTAAATGCACTGTTTCTTTATCTGGGCACTGATCACATGCATATTCCGTTTGTGAACATTCATCAAACTGGACATTATTTCTCTCTCTCTCTCTCTCACACACACACACACACACACGTAAAAACACTGTAACACATCAAACATGCTGCATAATATCTGGTCAATTCCAACTCAGGGCAAGTGCTACAGAGCAGACTGCACTATCAAGTTGTCTTGGCTGTAATCTTTATGGAAGCCAATTACCAAACTTTTCCCCTTCAATATCAGGGAGTGAGTTTGAACCACTGATTTTAGATTAGGAGTTGAGAGCAAATCATTTGACCAGACATTCAGAGACATTCGAAGACAAAGAAAAGTTTATATGTGAAGTGACATAAAGAATATTCTTGATACCCTCCCACAGATCATTTGGTCTACACTCATTGGTGTTCAAGGCCTCAAACCTGTTCCTGAGATGGGTTAGAAACTCAAGTGGGTTAGACTTAAGGTCAAATTTTGGTTCCCATGGATTTGATTTTATTTTCTTCAAATTCAGCTTGAACTTGCATATGAGTAGCTGATGGTCTTCTCCACCATCAGCACCTGGCTTGGTTTTCACACTTGATATTGAGCTTCTCCAGCGATTCTTTCTACAGA